GGGTGTGGTGCTGGGAGGGGCTGCGGTGTGGTGTGTCCTGTGCCGGTGGGTGGGTGGAGCCGGGGCGCCGCTGCGGCCCGCCCGCCTGCTTGGCCCTGCTTTCTGCCGCCCCAGCCCGCCGCCGACCCTCCGCGCGCCGCCGACCCCCCGCAGGCGCGGCAAGCCCACCAACCACAAGGTGTACGGCGAGGAGATTGCGATCCTGGCGGGCGACGCGCTGCTCAGCCTCAGCTTTGAGTACATTGCGCGGGAGACGCGGGGCGTGGCGGCCGACCGCGTGCTGCAGGTCATCGTGGAGGTGAGGCGGCTGCGTGGTGGTGTGGGTGGGATGGGGTGGGGTTAGGGGCTGGCTGGGGGAGAGGAGAGGAGAGGGGAGAGGGCGAGGCCTGGTGGCTGCATGGGGGCAGGGGGCTGGCTGGCCACAGGGGCTGGCCGCCGGCGGGGCTGGACAGCAAGCACAGGAATGGAAATGGAAGGAACACACATGAGCAGCCTCCCAGCCGGGGCCTCTCCCTTCAGACCGGGGGATGCCCAGCAGCATCGGGTCGGCCGGCCGCGCCGCGCCGCGCCGCGCCCGCTGCGCTGTTTCCCATCGGCGGCGGCGCCCCTCCCGGCCCCCGACCCCCTCGGGCTCTCCCACGCTCCTCTCTCCTCCGCCCCGCGCGCCTGCAGGTGGGCAAGGCGGTGGGCTCCGAGGGCCTGGTGGCTGGGCAGGCGGTGGATATTAAGAGCGAGGGGGCTGGGGAGTCGGTGGGGCTGGACACGCTGCAGTACATCCACGAGCACAAGACGGCGGTACTGCTGGAGGCGGCGGTGGTGTCGGGCGCCATCCTGGGCGGCGCCACCGAGGTGGATGTGGACCGCCTGCGCAAGTACAGCCGATCCATCGGCCTGGCCTTCCAGGTGGGGCCCGGTGGGCCGTCGTGTGGGCGAGCCCGCATCGGCGGGCCGCGCCGCGGTGGCGCCTGCCCCGGCCGCCCCCGCCTGCCTCGCCCGCGCGCCGCGCGGCCGCGCCCCCGGCCGCTGCGTGCCGCGTGGAGGCGGCCGCCCCGCCCCAGCGGCCCCCAGCCTCTGCCGCGCTCTGCCAGGCTGCCGACCCGCGTCACTGAGCTGCGCCGCTGACGTGCGTCGTGCTGCGCCGCTGTCGCCGCCGCCGCCTGGCGCCTGTCGCAGGTGGTGGACGACATCCTGGACATCACCGCCACCACCGAGGAGCTGGGCAAGACGGCGGGCAAGGACCTGGCCTCCGCCAAGACCACCTACCCCTCCCTGGTGGGGCTGGAGCGGTCGCGCGAGGTGGGTGGGCAGCGGGCGTGGAGCCGCGCGGCGTGCCAGCGGAGGGGGTGCATGTGGGTACCGGCCCCAGCCGCCGGCGAGGCATGCCTGCCTGCCTGCCTGCCTGCCTGCCGCGCCACGCCCTACCGAGCTGCTCCCTTCCTTTGGGCGGAACAGTGAGGGCTGTATCCCGCCGCGCTCCTCGTCCCCCTGAGCTGCCCGCCCGCACCTGGGCCGTGGGCCCCGCCCTCCACACAGCACGCACCCAGATCGCCGCCCTCAACACTCCACCCACCCCGCCCCTGCCTGCCTGCCCCGCCCCCGCCCCCTCCGCCTCCGCCGTCCTCAGATTGCGGACGAGCTGATTGAGGAGGCCAAGAGCATGCTGACCACGTATGACCCCGCCAGGGCAGCCCCGCTGTATGCGCTGGCAGAGTACATCCGCTGCCGCAAGAACTAAACGAGCGCCAGGCCGCCAGGCACGACGCTGGCCGGCTTGTGCCGGCAGTCCAGCGCCCAGCGGGGCGGCCTCGCCCGGCCGGCGGCCGCGGCAGCTGCGACGGACTATTCGACACACGTGTACCAACAACCGACAGCCGCCCCGCCGCTGCCGGCAAGTGCGCCGGCGCTGCGGGCCCCCCCTTTTCGTACGCCCCCGCTCTCCCCCAACTTGAGGTTTATTTGCCATCCACCCTGCAATGCCTCGGCACCCCTTTTCAATAGCACTCCCCCTGGTTCTCTTGCACCCCCAATTTAATGCTTCTAGCCGATAGCGCCCCCGCTGCGGTGCCCCCTTTTCAGCGAGCCCTGCCTGCAGTTTTTTTGAAGCATCCACTTGCAGCTGTTTGGTTTTGTGACGAGCATGCATTGAACACGTGCGACAACGACGCTGCGTCGACAGCACACTGCTTGCGAGAGGTTTGGGTGTGCAGGCAAGCGCGCCTGCCCAACTTCTGCCATCTGTACAGGCTGGGGCGCTGCCTGTCGGGTGGGGTTTTCAGACCATGGCATCCTCGCCGGCGGCCGCCGCGCCTGCCTGAGGGGTGGGGGGGGGGGGGGGCGGCCAGCTGGAGGGACACGGTGTAGCGGCAGGCTTGGCACACAGCGCGGCTTGCGAGCTCCGCCATAACCTGAATGACGATCCCTGTCTCTCTCTGTCTCTGCCGCCCCCCGCTCTTTGCCCCGCGTTCTGTCCCCGAGCGCTGCATACACGAGATGGAGGCATGTGTCTTACATACGTAATGCGCTCGCTGCACCTCATGACACAGTATTCGAGGGCTTAACCTTCAAGTCACGCTCAACCAAGGTGGAGCTCAGTTGTGAAGTAAGGGTGCACCAGCACGTCGGGAGAGCAGCAGCGATACACGTGGCAGCAGCTGCGATACAACCGTACAGCAGTTCAATCGCTGCCTCCGCTCTGACGGTAACACCATGGGCCAGTCCTTCCTCTCCAACAACATTCGTTTGTATTCAGCCACAGCTTGCTTTTTCAGAGCTGATAGGATTGAGCTACCGTTCCTGCCGCTGCAGACACACCCTGCACGACGGTCGTCTCGACATCGCCGAAACGAATCGTAGATTTCCTCCTTAGCTCAGTTGGCTAGAGCGCTCGGCTGTTAGATAATCGTTAATTTGCAACCGCGAGGTCGCGTGTTCGAGCCACGCAGGGGGAGTATTGCTTTAGGCCGCGGCTAAGAAAGGCCTTCTTTGAAGGCGCTGGAGCTAGTGTCTAAACCCTCCGAGAGGGCACAGGTTCGATTCCTCCCATGTCGACACTTTGTGAGGACAAACGCGGCATAGCTGACCGGCTCAGCGCCAATCCAAGCCAATTCCTTCGGGAACGCCTAATAGAATCGCCAAGGCTTCGGCACAGGCCTCCCCGGGACCCATTCACTACTAGTGGGGGGTACTGCACTTGGCGCGTCGGGCAGATCAAATAATGGTCTAAAGCTAGACGTTAAAACCGGGAAGTGAAGCTTGTGGAGGCTCTTCCCCACCTTTACCTTTACCTTTACCTTTTGCAGCATTGCTATGCAAGCCGCCAGTGGCGGGGCATGCCGCCGCCCCCCGCGCCGCTGTGCCCTGCCACCAGGTTGGCGCTCAATGATCCAGCAGCAACAAGGCTTGGCACAATGCTTGACGTCCGATCTCTGACAGGCGAGTCTCCTTCAGAGTTTGGGGCCACACCCACTTTGCCTCCCCCTGCCCCGGGGATTGCCAGCCTGTCGGCACATCTCCCTCAATTTCATTCATCGCCATCTTCTTCCTTCGCAATACCTGTGTGCTTTAACTCATAACGGGCGTGAATCCCAAGAGCCTCACGACGCCCGCCATGGCAGCGCTGGGCTTCCGCGTTGCGCTTTCGGCTGGCGGACAGGCCCGACCCGCCCGCTCACGCATCACAGGTACCACTCCGCTGCGGCTGTGGGCTGCTGCCGCTACCGCTGAA